AACGGCGCTGAGAGAGAGAGAGAGGAATCCTCGGGAGCTTCTTGTCAAAATTACTCATATGATAGAATTTCAGAAGAACCGGGTGAGCATCGATTGGGAAACGTAAATTGGGTGTTATATGTAGCATTTAATCGCTGAATTTACTTTTAACTCATCTGAACTTTTAAAAGTAATCCGTGTCTCCCCAAGATTGTTTGAAGCTAAATCGTGTGGGATATTGGCGACAGGAAGTCGGCTAAGATAGGCGCACAGTTAGCATCCGACTGTGCAGACTCACATAATCTTAGAAAGAAAAAAATCAGTGTTCTTAGTTTTTACATCAAACCCTGTAGCGCACCTAGCAATGTACCCGATGTTGGCAAACTCAAGAATCTAGGCAGTTGTAAGTGCACAATATGCATGCAACGATCGAATTAAGTTCACACAACCTAGCCTGGAGGCAGAAAGAACTTGATGCGAGTGCGCTTGGGGTTCTGAGCTGGAGAAAACGCAGGTTTTCTCATGGCGATGAGTAAGCAGTAGTTGAGTCATGTAAACGACAAAAGCGAGATTATACCTTTCCACTACTGATTGATAGTTCTACGGATGAAAACAAACTGTAATAAACTGCTTGCGTAAGCTGGGCCGGATAAAACGGGAAGAAATCATTGTTGAAACAAACCACTTTGTGAGGAAAAAAATCACAAGGCAACCGAAACTTACGCAAGGCATCCATGTAGGTCTCTGATTCTCGCAAGCATCTCATTGGTTTGGAGGTCACGTGGCGCGAAGGGGACCTTGGCCAGGTACTTGATGCCCTCGTGAGTGGTTGGATCATAGTCGCCGGCCTCTGATTGGATAACATATGCGCCAAGAAGGACGTATGTGTTGAAAGAGCAAGGTAGCCTACAGAAATTTGAAGAAAAAGTTTTATTTTTCTTATTCGATGACAAAATGCATTTAAAAAGAGAGCTTTTGTCACATAGATGAATAAACACATTCAGCAAAATCTCTTTAAGAAAAGAGCCTCTTGGTGCCACTTGTGTATAGATTGATTACATAAACCTTAGGAAAGTCCTAGCAGGCTATAGTCACTGGGTAACTACTTTATCAAGTTTCATTTGCAAAGTCTGGTCACAACTCATCAACAGGGTCACAGAGGATCCGTGTACAGAGTCCGCTTCATGCATATGTTCATCTGCTATAGTTGGCCTGCTAATTGAAACCTGTTTTCTTTTCTATTTTTTGACAGTCGGAATGTATTGCTTCGATACGTCCCTCGCAATGATAGTCTCATCCATTATTTACCAGCCCGGCAATTTTGCTCGGCTTTAGACTTAAACTATAATGGGTCATCCGAGTCATTGAATCAAAACGAGAACAGCAGATGGCCTAAGCTATTGTCAAACCTTAAGATTATTCTCGTTTGAAACCCAGTAAACATTTAAACCTACATCGTGCCCTTTAAGTTGAAACGGAAGCAGAAATGGCCTTCATTGCTGCTGGTGATTATGTAGTCTGCTGGACCACCCACTAAATTGTGCATTTGGCACACATCACTTACTCCTCTTTCACTGTGAAGAAGTTGCCAAGATTCTCGGGACTCGTGTTATGCTCACTTAATTACCGGCATTCAAACAGCAGACGTGCGGCTCGAATATAGACAATAAATTATGTGACGTTCTCATAGTGACAGTCATGAAACGAGATCTCACTGAAGACAGTTCATCTTACCTCAAGCCAAATGTTACTGACGCCAAAACAATTTAACTCGATCTATTACTAAGCTACAGCCAGCCTTCCAGGATGCGCGGATTGACTTAAGGTGTTGTTCCTCATTTACCTGTTTTTCAATCCCGCTCTCTTAGCACCTTTAACTGAAAGCAGTT